ATTTAGCCTGGGATTAAACCAGATGAATAGTAACAACCCGCCAGTTCAACTGGCCTGTTGCCAAAACCGGGTCACTAAAAAATTAAAAACCCATAAAAAATTTGGGGTGCGTTTGGTTCCCTATTTCTATCCATATTGCCAATCCTATTCCTTAAATATTGTTTAGCACATTATTTGAGAAATATTACTGTATTTTTAATTACTTTTAGACCCCTTAATTTAATAATTTCACTAAATACCCCCAAAAAAAGTTTAAAATTTAACAAAAACACCCCACTAGCCCATACTTGCCAGATTCCGGCAATCACCATCGGCGGTAGCCGAAATCTACCACAACAGTGAATTACTGACCGAAACAGGCCAATAATTCACCGATCTACCCATCGTGTGACGGCCAAATAAATAGTCATCGTGTGATGGCCAAAGAAATGGCCATCGTTGACGATCAACGACAGCCAAATCTTGACCATCGTTGATAGTCAATGACAATCATATCTTTGGCCGTCGCTAAAGACTAAAGATAGACTTCTTTGGCCTTTTCCGATCATCGACAGCCGCATCTGACCTTATATCTAGCCTTTTTCGGTCAGATCCATATCGACGCCAAATCCGATCGGTATGTGTCGTTAAGCAATTTTTTGACCAAATTTCGACGATGGTGGCCGAAATCTGACACTGCAGGTGGTAGGAGTGTTTTTGTCATTTTACAATATTTTTATATATTTGGGTATTTATTAAATTAGCAAACCTATGAGATTTTTTATAAATTTTTAAATTTTACCTCTTAATACTCTCCTATTCAACTACCTAATATTATTCTTAAAATCTTATCCAAAATAATAAACCAAATGCACCCTTACTTTTGTAACCGCGTCTTTAAAAGTTCAAACTTCAAAGTTTAATTCAACCCATAAAAATGAAATCTACATCAATGATTATCTTGATGCGAGCAAGAAGGAGTTGGTGGTTCTTGAAATATTTGACTTGGTCGATTTCTTGATACGGGTAAGACCAAAACATTGGGAGCTGATTTTGCTGCTGTTGAGACCATCTCCAACCTATTGCACCAATTTGGTGCAAAATTGCACCAAATTGGTGTAAAACACTATTCCATCTCCAACCCACAACACCAAATATTACACCAAAAAGAATATTCTTTAGAATATTCTTTTTTTCTTTTATTATAATAATCAACAATTAATCTATTTCACTCATTATTTTTGTATATATTAATTAAATATTGGGGATGATATTTTTATTAAATAATAATTATTTTAAAAATTATACAAATTTAATAAAATTAAGCATTTATTTAATCAAATAAACAGTACATTTAATATAGAAAAACATTACATCTAATATAAAATGATACCAAAAAAAAAAAAAAAAATGTATTGTCCATTCAAGCTTTTGAGATTTGTCGCTTATTCAAAAAGATGTATTTTCCATTCAAGCTTTTTATATTTGCAACTTATTTCAAAAGATGTATTGTTCATTCAAGCTAAAAAAGATGTGTTGTCCATTCAAGCTTTCAATTCAAACTTATGTTATAAAAGAGCATACAACACATTAGTTTTGAACACATCTCTTCTATTTCCTCTTAGAAAAAAAAAAAGCATATATCTTCTTCATTTGTGTTACAAAATGACTACACAACGAAGTTCTTCGTACACAAATGAAGAAGACATGCATCTATGTCATATTTATCTTGATATTTCTCAAAACTCGATTTTAGGTATAAACCAATCTAGTGATCAATTCTAGTCTCGAGTTGAGCTTGACTACAATAGTTCCAAACCCGTGTTTCTCACCCAGGTTCGGATCTTTGCAATGTCGAATGTAACTGATCTTTAAAGCTATTGGCAAATTGAGGGGATGCGTACGTCAAATTGAAAATATGAATCCAAGTGGTGCTTCTGAGTAAGATATTGTTAGTATTTGTTACATTTAATTAATTTTTTTTTTATCTAATTGATTTTAACGTTATATGTATATTGTTTTGTAGATGATTCAAGCCAAAATGTTACTAGCAGAAGATAAAAGTTACAAGAAAGGTTTCAAATTTGATCATGTGTAGCCTATACTTGAGGATATTGAAAAATTTACAGATAATGTTAACGCCGCAGAAGTATTTCAAAGTCAAACCGGTAGGTTTCTATCACAAGAATCAGAGACTCCCACTTCAAAGTCTTTCCAATCGATTCCTTGTGACATGTCGTCAAATTCTCTAAACATAAGTGATGAAAATATTGGGGGTAGTTCAGCTCAACGACCCATTGGGGTGAAGAAAGCAAAATTTAAAAGGAAAAATAATAAAGAAGTTTTAAACAGTTTTGAAACTATTCAAGAAGAAAATCGACAGCTCGTTGCTATTTTCAATCGGGACAACTCAATTAGGACATAAAATTATAAAATCCAAATGAAAAAAATTGGCTTTGGTAGAATATCGAGAAGATAACAAAATTTTATTCAAGGATTTGAATTCTATAACCGATCCAAGCCTACGTGAGTTTTTTCAAAATGAGCAATCAAGAATTATGCAAAAAAGAGTTCAACAACAAGGTCAAAGATCTCAAAATAACTCTAGTTCTTTTCAATATTTTGATAATCTTACTGAATCCGGAACTAATATACCGGAATACTAAATTGTTATTTTAGTTTATGTTGTATTTTCTTTTAATTTTAGTGTTTTTAAATTAGTATTAATTTTTATTTTGAGTTAATGTAGTTTGATAGTTGCATTGAATAAAGTTCTATTTTTAATTTTTTATCATTTTTTGAATTATATCATTATTATTATAAATAATAATCAAATTTGATGTGATTTTTTGTGTAAAATTTAATACTTAAATTAATTTAATAAAATTTAAAAAAAATTATTGACGCTACAGTATCACTTGGTACAGTATCACGCCAAAGCGCCAAGAAAGCCAAGATGGGTTGGAGCGACAACCCACGCCACTTTGGTGTTTTTCTTGGCGCTTTGGCGTGGGTACAAAACCAAGCTGCTGCTGCTGCACGCACCTCCACATATTTCTTTTTAATTATTTAAATAAATGGAAGTATTTTTCACTTCATTAACTAAAGTAAAGTAAAGGGAAGAGAGAGACCAATGGGCAATTACTATCCCACATGCCTCGATTCTCTTTCTTTCACTATGGGGCTATGGCTGTGTGTAGGCTTTTGAAATTTGGGTTAATATAGTCCGTGTGATGGGACTGTCTGATTTTGATATATAAATATATTATATTAATAAACTTCATCAATCATCATCAATTACTGTTCTCCTCTATTATTGCTTGCTTTATCTGGTGCATCTTAGCACATAACAGTCCCCCCAACTAACACAACATTACCCCCTCCCTAATCATGATTAATTCTCCTAATCATACGCCATTACTAGTGCGCTTTCTTTCAACATTCATTGATTCAATATATCTGATTCTTTTCTGCTTGGTCAAATATTTGTAAATTTCAATAAAGTTGGTTGAATTTGACATTAATAATTCATTGTCCCCTGTAGAAAAATATTATATAATCATCCTAACTACCACTCACATCCCTACCAATTTTATTTTAAAATTATTGGAGGGAGAAATCTTTTTTTTTTTCTAATTAGAGTTTTCAGACCAATTTGTATACACCTCAATTAATTATCAGGGTCCATTGAACAAATACCCTATAAACCCAAAAGACTAAATAAATTACAATATTATTGTGATAAGTGACATTAAGGTTTGAACCCAAAAATTTAATTAATAATATTAATTAAAAAATAGTTTCATTTACTAAATAAGTCTTTCTTTAAAGTTTAAATATATTTTTTTATTTTTTATTTTTATTTTTTTCGTAAAAAATAATGAAATTTGCACACATTTATAATACAAATTTTTGTATAATTGATTGATAAAATTGATTTGATATTTTTAATACTAATTTAATAGCTTCTAAACCATTATACCTTATTAGATGAGTGACCGACAATTAATGTCACTATTTTTTTTAACAATAATATGAAGAAAAAATAATAAAGGGTTTATAATATCGAGCGCATTTTAGCAAAGGTGGGCCATTAGTGCAGAAGCTTTAACAGAATGTAATAATTTAATTTAAAAAAAAAAGAGGCAGAAAGCAACAATAGCCAAGACAATACAAGCACGTGACCTGCCAAACAAGCTACTGCAATTTCTTTTGCAAAATCGACAATAGACATCCCATTGTTCCTTCTGATCAGTCCCACACATCCTTTCAATCCATTTTTAAATTCACATTTTATTAAATCCAAATGCAAATGAAAAGCATATTTTCAGGATTTTGTGTTTCTAAAACCACATTTTAATAATATAATTTCAATTGTATTAGTTTACTGGGTGAGTCTGACTGAGTTTGCATCTGTATTTGTGTGAGTTTGGCATTTTGTTTTCACCTTTGTGTTTTGGTTCTTTGTGTTAAGTGAGGAAGGGGGAAGAGAGAGAAAGAGAGAGTGAATTTTCATTTGGTTTCTGCTTTTTATGTTTAAAACAAGAAAAAAGCTAAGAAGATAATGATATTGGCCATTTTGAGGAAGGTGGTGAAAACTGAAAAGGCGCGGGGGCAGCAGTAGCAGCGAGGAAGGAGGTTGGGGCTGTAGGTATGAGGATGATTGACCTTGGTGGGTGCTCCATTGGATTTTGATTATGGTTAAGATTTTTGATGATGATCATGGATTGGTGATGTTTGTTTTGATGATTGAAATGTGGAAAGATGTGAGTTTGTTTGATCGGACGTGGGACGCGTTTGCAGCGGTGGGGATGAATGAAGAAATGGATGGTTGGGATTTCGTTTGGTAGAAAGAGGATGGGAAGAAATGGATGATTGAGATTTTGTTTGGGAGAAAGAGGATGAGATAAGGATAAGGGCTAAGATTGTTTAGACTTTAGATTCTCTTCACGTTTTTCAATTCACTTTTAATTTAATTAATTAATTTACTTGTTTATTATTTTGAATTAGGTGTATTTTTTTTTTGTAAAATCATATTTAATTCGGTTTAATTTATGTGATGTCAGTATGATAACATCATCGATAAACTGATTGGACCGATCAACTCGAGGCCCGGGTCAAAGCTTAGGTCGGCTTTAAAACATTAATATAAGCTACTTCAATGGCCTCCTTATTGTTGTCTTTTACTGATTCATTTAGGCGTTTTTTCCTAAATATTCATTTTAAAAGCTGAAAAAAATCTAGGAGGCCAGACTCACTCCAAAATATAGAGTCTTATCAATTATGTTCTCAACTTGCATCTAAAACCTGCAAAATTCTTTACAGGGTTTAACAGACAATGTATAGGATTACTGATTGGAAGGTTGACATGCCACCAGAATCCGATGAGAAGGAGCTTGATCCATCTCTGCAAGAACTTGATGGTATGATTCAACATTATCTTAATAAACTATATTTTTTATTATATAATCAAACATAATAAATATTCACAAATGAAATAGTGAGGGGTACAGCAACTGCATCAGAAAATGAGTCATCTAGTCAAGAAAAAGTTATGAGTAGGATGTCTCCTCTTCTAGACCAAACTGGTACGGTTTGATTTTATCTTGTAAATTGCTATCTTTTTAATATTTCTGAAAAAAATACATTGTTTTGAGTACTCTTTTATTGTTAAATCTTTAAACTTCTTTAAAAATCGTTTAAAGAAGAAGGATGTATAAGGCTCTTTAAAAATCGTCTAAAGAAGGATATATAGGGCTATATACACCCATTAAAATTTCTCTACTCCCATTTAATCAATTACACATAACATTTAAATTTAAAATATGATTTATTTTATTAATTATCAACAATATTTTTTTTCATTTTTATTATACCTTTCATTCAATTAACTTGATATACTACATATTTAATTTGTTGAAATTACAGAAAGATGTGAATCAAGATCAAATTTTAAAAAATTCTGATGGTTTGTGAACTTTGGAAATTGTTGGATGCAAATAGTTTGATCTAAAAGCGAAAAAGGAAAGAAAAATCTGATGTTGTTAATTAGTTCCTCTTTGCTTGAATCGTTGTCATTAGTTCAGTATAACATTGTAAAGTGTAAACTACATGTTAAATTATTTTATACTAATTAAAGATGTAATGTTTAGATATCTTTCACGTATATTTGAATTTCTTTTAACAATTGTTTTGGTTTCAATACTACAAAAAGAAAAATTAATTTGTTTCTTTAATACTGTATAAGATTTGTCCCAAAATTTTGACTAATAAAATAGTAAGAAATACAACAGCTGCATCAAATAATGAGATATCTGAAGAAATAGTTCAGAACAAGATATTTCTTCCTCATGAAGACCAAGCTGGTACCTTTTTAAATTATCTTGTAAATTTTCTATTATTTAATTTTATAATTTTAAAGATGCTTTGTTTCGAGTATTCTTTCATTTTTATTTCTTTAAACTTTTAACCACGTAGACTACATATATTATTGTTATGAAAACATAAATATTTTATTTTATCTCAATCCATCATTACTTTATTTACATATCAATGTCACATATGATGACACATCACTTAAGATATGAAATTTAAGATAAGTTTTGAAAAGAGTGGTATTATTGTTATGAAAACATAAATATTTGATGATTGTTATAATTTAAACTTTTACTATTGGGATAAGTTAAGAGTGTACGGCTGTAGGCTTATAGTGGATATTAGTTAGCTGATCCATAAATTCCGCCTTGATTCTAGTTAATGCATGTAATGATGAGCTTATTGATATTGAGAATCATTTTATGATTTTTCTTAATTTTTACCTAGATTGAATGAATTAGTTTTTATGTATAAAACTTCTTCTTGTTTCAGGTGAAACAAGGATAACGGAAAAATTGTATAGATATGCAAGAGGCGGTAATTGGACGCAAGCAAATACAGAAATTTTTAAGAGCCGTCCAAAAAATTCAAAATATTTAACTGCTACAATATCAGACAATAGGGACATTGCTCTCCATGTTGCCGTTGCAGAAAACCACCCTAAGTTTGCCGAAGAATTGGTGAAATATATGACAAAAGAAGATTTGGCTATTAAAAATGGTGAAGTCAATACTGCTTTTTTCTTGGTTGCTGAATCAGGAATACACATAAATTTAGCTAGGAAGATGTATGAGAAGAATACAGAATTACCAAGTATTCGTGGAAAAGGGGAGAGGTTTCCAATTTACGTAGCAGCTTATCACGGGCATAAAGAGATGACGGAGTTCCTTCGTGAAAAAGTCGGATCCTTAGAAGAAAGGGATATCAACGAATTATTGAAACATAAAACTTTTTCTGGTAAGCATGCACTTTTCCTCATATTCTAATTGCATATTTTATTGATCATCCTAATTTTAATATGATTCTTTTATTAATTATCAACAAAATAATTTTATTTTTCTAATACTTTTTATTTATTAATAGTAATATAATACATATTTGTCGAAATTAAGAGATGTATTATAAATATCTAATTTAAAAAAAATCTAACGGTTTGTGAACTCAGTAATTAGGTGTAAATAACACTTCAGACTACTAATTTGAAAAGAAAAAAGATAAGAATAAAAAAGCAACAAAAAATAACACCCTACAGAGTACAGACTACTAAATACTAATTTCACAAAACAACAAAGGGTTTTATACCTATTTCTTAAACTAATGGGGAAAATTACCTTGTAAACTACTTATTATTTTATTTTTATACTTTTTAATATGCATTATTTTGACTATCCTTTCATTTTACATCTTTAAACTTCTTTAACAATCATTTTGATTACCCTTCACAAAATGAAAATTAATTTGTTTATTGTAATTGTATAGGCGAATAAGTAGTACCCAGTGAAATGGAAAATTTCAAAAGTTAATTAGCAATGTTATATATAAATGGGCCTAGAGAGTATAAATTTAATTGAAATACCAATAGCTTTGACTCTTATGTATAGATTAATTTTTTGTATGATAATTCATATGTTTAATGTTACTCTATCATGCAATTTACATCAAAACCAGTCTGAATGAATTACTTTTTATATATTAAACTTGTTCTTGTTTCTCCTTGGTACGGATGATCCAGAGTTTTTTGAAGACTTTAAAAGTTTACGTAGACTTGTATTGAGGGATGACTGGGACAAAGCTTATGGAGGTTTTCTTAAGGAAAATAAAATGTATTCAATTGCTACGATATCAGACAGAGGGAACACCGCTCTCCACGTTGCAGTTATAGCAAATTCCTCTAAGTTTGTCCGAAGACTGGTAGAATATATGCAGAAAGAGGATTTGGCTATTAAAAATCGTGATGGCAATACTGCTTTTTACCTTGCTGCTTTATCCGGAAGGGTGGAACTTGCCAAGCTGATGTTTAAGAAGAATGACGAATTACCAAAAATACGTGGTTCAAATAAAAAGAAGATGTTACCTATTCTCGCAGCAGCTGAGCAAGACCATAAACAAATGGTGGAGTTCCTTTATACAGTTTCCAAGAAACACTTGGAAGAAGACGATATCTACCCATTGCTTTGCAGTCTGCTCCGTATGTCTGATTTGTTTGGTAAGCAAGCACTACATTCCTAATATTAGGTCTATATAATGGCACATTTATTTGATAATCTTAACTTTACCAGGTAGGTTATATTTGGAATTATAGTATCTTTGACATATGATTAAACATTGTTACATATAAAAACTCATCATCTAAAGTTAACGTAAGCACCAAACATGAAAATCATTTATAGCTGAAGTGTTTTAGCGCATACCTTAATAACATATATTAATAACATAAATAGGTAAAAATTTTGATTATATTTATTTATATTATTTAAAAAATTTTGATGTTGGTTGTTGTTTCCTAGATGTTGCGCTGAATTTGATAAAGAAACACTTTAGTGTCCTAGACAAGCGGAGCTATGAAGCATTGGAAGTATTGGCTGGAACACCTATGATGTCTCGTGACTTTGCAAATCAAAATCAGGAAGGATTTTTTAAGAGATACTTCAAATTATGTACGTTAGTCTTTCTATCATTTATTAACCTCTGCATTAACTAATTAAGCATGGCTTCCTGAATACTCCAGTACTCTTCCAAAGCATTTTGCCTGTGTGGGTGGGATATCATTACTTAGACACTTCCAGCATCGGGGAATGTATTGGTACGTTGACACCATCACCGGGTTGGTCCACGTTGAGCTTGGCGTCGGGGGGACATCCGGTAGTTATAAGCATTCCTTAGATTAATCATACTGCTGTCTTAGGTTTTATTATCATACAAGCGTCCTCTTCTTAAAGAGTTGGTCACACATCAATTTTCAACTCTTCTCCAAAGGTTAATTAAGTTATGCTTTTGTTTACTTTTACAGTTTGAATTCGTTATACATATGATTCTCTTCATAATCTCTTGTTTCTAAATCTAAAGTACTTTGGAGATAGGATAGATCATATATGTCATACCACAAACCGACAATTTACGTTGCGTGAATTTTATCTTTCATTTACCTTTAAATTGAATCAATAGGATTTGTAATATTTATATAAAGTGTAATAATTTTTTCTTTGATGTATGCACTTATATTCTTTTCTACTAATTTAATTTTATTATGTATTATTCTTCTAACTTTGTAGTCAAATTACTCTTCCCACTCGCTGATTCTGGAAGCGACAAATTGCCCCATGAAAAGCTTCCCCAACGAACACTTGAGCTACTCAAACTCTTATTGGAAAGGGTAGATTCCCGCAAATTAATAGAAGTCGCTGCCAAAAAAGAAAACGTTGAACTTCTAAGCATAATTATTTGTGATTATTATCCTGAGCTCGTATTGGAACGTGAAGAAAAGTCATTTAGGCTATTAATTCACAATGCTATTTTGAAACGTCAAGAAGGTATCTTGAAACTCATAAACAAGATGAAGACATTATTTGAGAATGCACTTCCGTCCACAGATATATTGAATCTGGCTGGAGAGTTGCCTCCATCATATCTGCTGGATAATATTCCGGGAGTAGCTCTTCAGATGCAGTATGAATTATGGTGGTTTAAGGTAAATTTTGACACTGCATTGATTTTTTCTTGTATAGAAAACAATTTTTTTCTTTTTGACAAGACGTTTGATACATTTACTGTAGGAAGTGAGAAAGATTGTGAATACGTCGGATGCTCAGGCTAAAAATGACGATGGAAAAACTCCTATAGCTTTGTTTAATGAGAAGCACAGAGATTTAAAGGAGAAGGGAGAAAAATGGATGAAGGACACTGCTAATTCGTGTATGATTGTGGCAGCACTTATTGCCACAGTTGTATTTGCTTCAGCTTTCACAGTACCAGGTGGCAGCAAAGATGGGTCAGGGACTCCTCATTTTCTTCATAAAGTGTCCTTCACGGTTTTTGTCATATCAGATGCAGTATCTTTGGTATCATCCATTTGTTCCATTTTAACATTTTTATCTATTCTCACTTCCCGATATGCAGAAGAAGATTTTCTTTTGGCGTTGCCTACAAAGTTGATTGTTGGGCTCTCAACACTTTTGTTATCAATAGTAGCAATGATGGTAGTTTTCTGTACAACTATTTTCATTGTCTTTGAAGATGGAAACATTTGGGTTCCTATTTTTGTTACTGTAATTTCTTCTTTACCTGCTATATTATTCACCGAGCAACAACGGAAGCTCCTGATTGATGTACTAGTTTCAACCAATAAAATAAAGTGTCTTTCGAATGAAGAAGGCAGAGCAAGGGAGCTTAATAAGTTTTCAGAAGACAATGATGACGATGATGATGATGAGGGAAGATACCAGCACTACAAGAATAGAATGCAGAAGTGTCTTAGGACATTCTACCAGTACTGTCTTAGAAGATAATGGATGCATGTATGGGACAAGTTGGTGGAAATGTATATACCTCGCGAGTGATGTGATGGGAATGCGAGTTAGTGTGATACAAATTAAAGACATTTACTTCTTTATGATTGAAATTATTATTATTATTATCATCTCTTTTAGCAATTTATTATTTTGTTTCAGAGTTTTATCTTTTTTTTTTTTTTGGGGGGGGGAGTGACTGTTATCAGATACTTCTCCTTAAGTTTCAACCATTCTTAAATTTATCCCAAATGTATAAATACTCCTCAAGTTTCTCCCTTGAACTTTCAACTTTCCTCAATAACCTTCTTTCAACACCCTTTTTTAACAGCAAACTCTGACAGAAATTATGAAATGTCCATATTACCTAAATGTCCTCCATTAGGTCAGTCATTTTTAATCAAATTTATACCCATTCTTACTGTTTGTGACCGTTGGAACCCACGGGTAATTGTGAATGTTTATTTCAAAGCACTTATTTTTCTAAACCAAAAAAGGCTTCATTACATACTTTTTCTTTTCAATTTCTGCATAGTTGTTTAAAGAAAGAGTGAGTCTTCAATCTACGATTGTTTAAATAAAGTAAGATAGGCCCTTTAATGGCACCACAAGGAGAGAAAAAAATATATACACAGCAAAACATTGAAGGCGAATTTTCAGCATTCACAACAAAACAGACACATGCATACATATCCCCTATGAAAAAATTTAAAACTTAAGGAGGGGGAATGGAAATATCATGATCAGCCAAAGATAAAATTGAACAGTTTGTGTAATGACCAGTTTCATGAATTAACAAACTGATATCATTTTCTCTTGCAAGATTGATTATGTTTGTGATGATAGAAGAAGAATTTCGGAAAAATTTAGAGACTGCCGTCACTTCATCTAGCTAGAAGACAACCACCATTGATAGAAGGAGAAGAAGAAAACAGCAAATGAAGGAAGTAGTGAGCAAGAAGACGGTAGCCTCATATTCTCTCCAACGGTGGGTTATGTTTGTGATGAAGAAAGAGAGTAGGGATTATCGTTATTAAAAGAAAGGGAAATTATATTAAATAACTCATTTTTGGGACTTAGTCAAAAGTTAGTTTGTTTATGAAAGTATTTTAGAAAATAGTCATGTTCCAAAATTTAAGACAAGTTGGATCAAAATACCATTTCTTTAACTTATAACACTTAAGAGTACCGATAAACAACTAACCGATAAATATCCGTGAGTCAACCAATGGAAATTGATAGGCATATCTCGGTCAATCAAGAAATATAGGTTTTTGTTGAATAGAGTTTGTTTTATTTTGAGAATTTAATTATTTGATAACCCTATTGGTTTCTATCAATGACCAATAAAAATCAATATAGATAAAGTCCTAAAACAAAACAAACTATATATGATCTATCAATTGACCGATAGAAACTCTATCTCTATTAAAAAAAAAAAAAAAATCCTATCTAACATGTTTCTTACACACAAAATCGAATTAAGAATCAGTTTAGAGCTTTGGTTTTCAAATCCTTCAGTGGAGACTTGGTCTAACTTTGAAGAAGATGGGCGAATATGGGTTAAAGTTTATTTATATATGCATGGGGTTATTTTCATCCTTCATATTTGTATAAAATTCATTTTGCTATTTTGTGAAAAGTTTTCAAAAAGTGTTATTTTTCAACTCCCCCCTAAAATAGTGTTGTTTAATATAATTTCTTATTTTTTAAAAATAAATAGAAGAGTGGAAAAGAAATTTCTAGTCTATGAGAGCGACTTAGTTTATACAAATTAATACAAACATATTTTTTATCTATAAAGAATAAATAATAAACACTACTTGAGTCCAAGAATTATTAAAATTCACACTTAGAACATTTTAATTTTACCAAAAAAATAAAAGTTACACCACATTAAACACATTGAGCAATAAAGGTTTCCTATCCTACACCCAAATACATGATTTTACAATACAATCAATGTCTATGAGAGGAACATATCAGAAGCCAATATTATTGAAGTAAATTTGGATAATGTTTCCTCCGGTATCGTAAAAATTTCTGATAATAAAGATTTTTCTACAATATACATATTCTTATTCGATACCGAAAGAACAAAGATTATTTCTACTGTTGAATGTGAGATTATGGGTTGTTTGGGGGAGAAGTCAAGCCGGAATTATTGAATCCGAGGCCAAAGGAGAAGGTGGAGATGAAAGGTAAAGGAGGGCCCAAGCTAGGAAGTGAAGGAACCATTGAAGTGGTTGCATGGAACCTGTTTCAATGGGCTAGGCCTACTCAATGTTGGCTCTGGTTTTGGGAAATATATTGGCAATGTTGGCAACATTGGATTGTCTTCTGGTATTGGCATCTGCTTTGTTTATGAAGGTAGTGGGAAAGTCTCGGGTCAAGGAATGTTTCGAATGACATTGTCGATGGCTTTTCTAGGTTGTCATTCAACAAGCGTCGAGAAACTGTTGTTATGCGAAAGCTACAAAGAAAGAAGAGAGTTGTAATGATAGAGCGAACAAGAATAAAAGAGGTTGCCATTGATGGATTAGTCGATGAAATTTAGATGATTGAGGATTGGTGATAGTGATGGTGATCTTTTGAAGGGCTATATAGGTGAAATTAAGAATGAAATTCGGGAGTGTTGATGGGATTCATGGTAGTTCTACTTCAAACCTATTTCTTTAGACAAGTTTTGTATGTTTTTTGTTGTAATTTCTCCTAACTCGAATCAAGCAAACCTCAACCAAAACACACAATCAACGCAAACCAAAACAGATTCAACACACAGTATTTACCATGGTTCACTTGTTCAATATTGAACAAGCTACGTCCATGTTGAGCTCCAGAATATGGATGCTCGCTGCACTTACTATTCCGATCAAGAACGGTTACAACCCTCAAACTCTCTTCCCTTTACAAGATTTCAGTTTTTCTAAATCCTTTCACTCACAACTTTAAACCTCTTTAGTGTGTGTTTTTTTTTTTTTTTTTTTTGAATTTTTGTATCCGTTTTCTATTTTCTGAAAATATGAAAACATTTGGAAAATGAAAAAAAGTGTTCAGCATGTTTGTCTGAATAGTATTATTTGCAAATGAGAACAAAAATATGTGTATAGTAGTTTATCTGAAAGCACGAAAAATAAAAACACGTTCGATATATTTCCTTGAAACAAGATTTTCAGTTTTTGTCTTGAAAATGACGCAAAAGAATCACCGCCAAATACATTAAAATGGAGCATGTTTTGTTGATCTCGTAAGATCTACTATTTTCTGGTCTCAAATTAACGTGGAAGAGAAGTTCGTGAGTTTTGAATTTCAAACTTTTAATTGACAGAAAACTTCAAGGTAGAAGAGGACATGAAGAGAAAAGCATTACCTAGAATGTTTTCTCAGTTCATTAATCTATTCCTTTATATTTGTTGTCTTTATTGCATTTTTTAATCATTTTTTCTTGTTAATATCTTTATTGACCAGAACAATTCGTTGCTTTTTTCTTCAAACCCAATTTGCTAAAAACATACAAAAAAATGAAACAGTAAGTTAATACATAAACGAAATGACCTCTAACAATTGCTTTGGTCATCCTACAACAAAAAGAAAATTAATTTGCTTGTCTAGTTTATAATCGCATAAGATTTATTGCAGAATTTTGACTCATAAAATAATGAGGGATATAATAGGTACATCAAAACCTGCTGGGTCATCAGAAGAAGAAATAGTTAACGATGCGACATCTCTTCCTCAGGAAATCAAATTGGTACATTATGATATTTTTAAGATGTTTTGTTTTTAGTATAAGAGGTGTTTCCTTTTTGATCTAAAATCTGAATGCATATGTTATCAAATACGTCGAATATAGATGTTTGACCAAGTTTTTATTTTTTATTTTTCATGTATGTTTATAAGTATTGAATTGTTTATTTTATACAGTACAATAAACTCTTAAAACTAGTATTTTGACGCATATGTCCTTTTATTAGTATGATAGTTTTATATTTTCCATGTTTTAAACAAATTAAAATATCAAATTTTGAAAATTAAACAAAACAAATGTATATAACTAAATAATCATATTATATTGTTTAATGTAATTAGAAATTTATTATAAAAAATTAAAATAATCAAAAATACATAATGCATAAGAGTTTTGTCAAATGGAATTATATAAATATATAATAGGGGTATTGTTGACAAAGAAACTTTTATTGATTATGATATTTTTTATTTAGATAAAAGTAAATATTTCAGCTTTTTACTTATATATAATAACAGACATAATTCATACAACAAAACAACCTAAAACATCTTAATCTATTAAAATAGGTGACATTCAGACTTAAGATTAAAAAACAAACAGTTTTCCTTTCACTTTATGTCTTTGAACATTCTTAATAATCATCATTTCATTCCCTAAAAAAATTGAAATTAATAATTTTTTTTATTGAATATAAAGCGCATAGTACTATTTTTTTTAGAACTAGTACTAGTTAAAAAAAGCGATTAACCTTGACATTCGGAAAAGAATAATACTACTCATCTCTAATATTTATCCTACATATTCACATCTCAAGTGATGTGTCATTACACGTTATTGCCGAATTACTCAATCCTCATTATTTTATTACTATCAATGCCACATATAAATGCACACTTAAGATATGAAATTCAAGATAATTTTGGAAAGAGGTTATTCTTATGAAAATTAAATATTTGTGATTGTTATACTTTAAACTTTTACTATTGGGATAAGTTAAGAGTGTACGGCTGTAGGCTATAGTGGATTTAGTTAGCTGATCATAAATTCCACCTTGATTCTAGTTAATGCATGATGATAAGATCAACTTATTGAACTGAGAATCATTTTATAAATTTTCTTAATTTTTACCTAGATTGAATGAATTAGTTTCTATGTATAAAACTTCTTGTTGTTTCACCTTTACAGATGATCCAAAGATAAATGAAGACTTGAAAAATTGTATACATATGCGAGAGATGGTATTGGAAGGATGCTAATGAAGAATTTTTAAGAGTGGTTCAAAAAAAAAAAAATCAAAAAAAATCAACAAAATCAGACAAAAGCCCTGGCACTCACATAAAAATAAAAAATAAAAAATATTTGCTAGAATAT